TTCTTTTTTTTTTTTTTTTTTTTTTTTTTTTTTTTTTTTTTTTGGTAGAGATTTTTGCTATAGGGTATGTAAGAGAAAAAAAAAAAGAGAGAAATCATCCCCCAGCTGGGATGGCCACACTGCAATCCCTTCTCCTCCATTCTCTTCTCAGGATTGCCCAGTGTGAGTTTCAAGATGCTGGGTCCAGGACTTGAATTGAGGTTGGTCATATGGAGAACAGTATCTTAACCACTATACCATGTGCTTGGCCCAGCCCCATTGTGTGTTTTTTATTTTAATTTTTTTTAAAAAGAATTATTTATTTTATTTTATTATTATTATTATTTTTAATTTGAAAAGAGAAAGAGAGAAAGAGAAAGCAAAAGTGAGAAAGCAAGCCTCCAGGTCCAGGACTCAAACTGCAGCCAGCTATGTGGAAGTCCAGCACCTTAACTACCATGCCACCTGCTAACTCCCCATTGTGTTTTAAGAGTTATTTTAAGTTTTTTTAAATAAATTACAATTTTCGATTTTCAGCCATAGATTATCACTATGATTGTCTTTTATGAAAGACTGATTAGAGAAATACCAGTTACATGTCAGCATCTTAATAAACTAAATGACCATTAAACATGAACCTTCTTTTTTGATTCTATTCCTGTAGGAGTATCCTGGAGATGAGCTTCTACTTGTTTATGATAAAGATTTCAAATATGGACTTAACTTTTATCTTATTGGAACTGAAGAGGGCAAGGAAAACTATTTAAATGTAAGCAAACCCAAGCCCTTGCAATGTGTTGATTGTGCAAAGGAATGGCACTTCCAGGGCAGCCCTCACATAGTGATGGTTACTCTTGTCAAGCCGTGTCTCCAGGGCCCAGGTCGTGTTCTGGCACCCAGGCTGGACAGGCAGTAAACGCGGGGTGAGCTAAATCCAACACCTCAAAGCAGCAGATACTTATTTGGCCTTCACTGACCCAATGACAGAGGCAATAGTGAATCTGCAGTACTACTGCTCTCAATCTTTCCCTGGTCCACTTCCTGGTTCTCTTCTGGCCATCTCCATGACTTTGGGTAAGTTACTGAGCTCATCATAAATGGCCCCATTTCCAGGGCTATTCTGAGAAGAGAGGTAAACGAGCTAATTCAGGTAAAGCTCTTTATTCAAGGAGGCAAGAAAAGTAACAGACGTATCCAGAAGGTGACAGACTCACCTTTTTATCTTGCATCGTTATTTGATCACATTAGAGACAATTTGGGAGGTTTGGCCAAATTGGTTAAGGGAGAAAGAGAGCTTTGTGTGGTTGTTTAGTAAGAAAAATAAGGAAAGCTATAGAATTTAGAAATATCTAACAGTTTTTAATTAAATATAATCTTTTACTTCATTTTAAGGCTTTCAATTTTATTTTTATGAGTGCTTTACTCTTTTAAAAATATACATATGCTATAGGGCAAGTATACTCACCAGAGAGAGAGAGAGAGAGATAGAAAGAGAAATCCCCCCCAAGGGAGATGGCCACACCACAATCCTTTTGCCTTCATCTCCCTCTCTGGATTTTGGGCATGCATGCATCATACCTAGTATATTTTTTTAAGCCGCTAGGTTCCGGACTTGAACCATGCTGTTGGCTACTTGGTATCCAGTGTCTTTAACCATGGTGTTACTTGACTGACCCTAATTTTTTATTATATAATGAAGTATTTCAAATGTATAGGAAAGTACAGAGAATAGTAAACAAATATCCACACAATCAACACCTAGAATTAATAAATAGTAATATTTTATCATATTTTCTTCAAAACTTTAAAAAAAGAAATAAAATATTATAAAGTTACATTCTGTCTTATAGTCTCCCTAATTTCATTTTTCTTGCTCTTTTACGTAAGGAACCATTAATCTAAAGTTGATATGTGTGTGTATATATATATGTGTGTATATATATATATATATATCTTTCCTGTCCATGATTTTATACTTTGACTATATAGTTATGCTCCACAAATACTGTGTTTTAAAAAAATAAAGTCTACACAGAAATTGTACAATTTAATACAAATTTTGTTTTACAGTGATTATAAAATACTAGATTCTATAAATTGGATATACTTTTAGATATTACATATATGTAGATTGAGTTTGTTCATTGTAACTCTTACGGGATTTTATTTTGTGATCATAGCACACTGTCATTAATCCATTCCCCTATTGATATTCATTTGAGTGTTCATTGTTTTACTGTTACAAATAAAGCAGCAGTAAATACTTGTGACCATCTTAGTTTTAAAAAGCATTCACTTCTTAGTATCCAATAGATTTATTTGCACTTAAAATGCTCTTATCAATAAACATTTCTTTAAATCATAGAAAATTAGCTTTACAGCTTGTCATTAAGCTTAATGTTCTGTTTTTGTAAAGATATTCATGTCCCTTGTCATGCATCATTGCCTTTTTTCTTCTCCCATCTTTTTCTCCTATCTTCCTTCTATATCCTTAATGCCACTTTCTTTATCATTCTTTATTCTTCCTTTCTTTGCTTCTCATAACTCAAAACCATGAATCTACAAATAAGACCACTAGGAAATGCCTAATGAATTTATATAAATGTAAAGTTTATTGCAAAATATTTTCATGTAGCTATAATCTAAGTTTAGTCAGATATTTTATAATCCTATTTATTTTACTTCAGCCCCCAGAAGTACCAGAAGAACAGGAAGAATATAAAGAATATATTCCTGAGGAAGTATATGCTTATAAACCACCCGTCTCTAAACCATGGGTGTCTTTGGGCAGCGAAAAAGAAATTGAAGAAGAATCAGTTAAGGGATCTACAAAGCAGGTCAGAGGCTTAAATATGATTTCCAGTCTTTACCTTCCTGTAGCTCAACATCATTTATTCCTGAAAGATTTGTGAGGTTTCCTGTATGTGCTATGGGGATTTTTTTTCTTTTTGTGTTTTCGTTTTCTTAAAGAATTATCATCATTTTAGGTGAGCTTTATGAGTTGAATCAACCTCGCACAAAAGATATGCTGAGTTCCTAATCCCCAGAACCTCAGACTATGACCCAACTTGGGGACACTGGGGGTGTATTGGTAATTAGTTAAGAGGAGGCCATACTGGGGTAGTGACCGGTGCCCTTATAAGACGACCATGTGAGGACACAGACAGGCAGGACATCATGTGACACAGGCACAGATCGGAGGGATATATCTTCAAGCCAAAAGCAACAAAAATGTTTGGCCCACACCAGAAGCTGGGACAGAGCCATCACGAAGGACCAACCCTCCAAACAGTGTGATTTCAGACTTCTAGCCTCCACACCTGTGAAAGAATGAATTGCTACCGTCTTAAGCCACCCAGTTTGTGGCACTTGGTCACAGCAGCCCTAGAAAACAAATCATCTAGTGACGTCCCCTCCCAGAGCAACACCTGAGAGGAGGGTTTGTGTGCAAGCGATTTACTATGAATGTGACCCATCAGAGGATGTGGACAGCAGCAGAACAGGTACGCGGAGGAAGCCTGCGAGGGGTGCCGTCTCAGGCAAAGGTCCAGCAGAGGGAAAGCTTCTGCCTGGACCCATAGAAGAGCTATCGAGTGTAAATGACACCTGAATTGTCCCCCACAGAGCAAGATGGGCTTCCACAGGCTCCTGCCAGGCCACCATGGGTCACGATGTAAACTTCCTACACTTTGTACCTGTGGGGACAGTGGTCTCAGTAGCCCTAGAGCATTCTCCCAAGAGGAGCAGCAGGTTCTGCCCATGGGCGGCCACATGGAATGCACACAAAGGGATCAGAGAGGATCTGGACAGATCACCAACACCGTCTGCTACAGTGACTTCTCTCCAGAGACTTCGTTAGGTTATCTTTACTGCTTACATGTGTTGCAGATTACATATATGATTTCTCGGAAACGAAGTGAATTTGGTGCACCAATTAAATTTCATGACCAGAATGCTTCCAGTGTAAAAGATGCCTACATTGAATGTACCGCCTACCCAGATCACATTTTCACCCTTAAACAACTTGAGAAAGATGTTGGCATGCAAGTAGTCCCCAAAATGAATGACACAAGTACTCAGACAAGATGGTGAGTGAGATGGGCTTAACATTTTTACAACCAGTTGTTTAAATATATTTGTAGCCAGTAAAATCTAGCTACTTCCATGATCATTTTGAGAGACCTTTATAATAGTCAGAATTAGGTAGATGAGAGATTTCAGAGTAATCCAATTCAGAAAGATCTAATTATGCCCAAAAAATGTATTTGGAAATCTTAAGCAGAAAATGAAATACTGTAACTACTATGAAGTGGGAATATGAGTGATACTGTTAATAATTACAGTGCTGACCCAGCTAGGGTAGCGTGGGCTAGTTGATGCTGCTATTTGGCAGTCTGAGGTCACATGGATTGCTCAGGTTTAACTTCCAGCCCACCCTAAAAGCCACATAAAGTGGCAAGCACTATAGTCTCACCTACTTGGGAGGCTGAGGTAAGAGGATCACACAATAGCAATACATTGTCTTTGAAATATTGATAATAGGGGTCAGCCGATGGCATCGTGGTCACGTTGCTAGACTCCCACATGGCTGACCGTGGTTTGAGTCCAGGACCTGGTGGCTTGAAAATTACGCCAGGCATGTGTGAGCACATGCCCAAGATCCCAGGAGGAGAATGGAGATTGCCATGTGACCATCCCCCAGGGGGTGATCTCTCACTTTCCTTTTCACTGTCTCTGTCTCTCTCTCTCTCTGGTGAGTGCACATGCACTAGGCAAAACAAAACAAAAACAAAAACTAATTTACATAAAAATTTTTAAAAACGTATATTGATAATAATAATTATTATGGTGCTGGTTCGCTCTCACCTGGAATATCATCATTGCCTCGTAATTGTTCTGTTCTACCACCCAAGCGATTATTCTTTCTTTCTTTCTTTCTTTTTTTTTTTTTTTTTTTTTGGTTTTTATTATGGCCCAAATTTTTTTTTGAGTTTTGCTATAGGGCACATATGTTCACCAGAGAGAGTCAGAGACAGAGAAAGAGGGAAAGTGAGAAAACACCTCCCAGGAGGAATGACCATGCCACAATCCTTTCTTCCCCATTCTCCTCTGGGAATTTTGAGCATGTGCACACACTCTCCTAGTGTGTTTTTCAAGCCACTGTGTCAGGGACTTGAACTGTGAAGTTGGCCATGTGGGATCTCGCTGCCTTAACCACCATGTCACCAGTTGGCCCTCTAAGTGATTATTCTTAACACATCACATCTGATTGTCTTATTTCATTGCCTTAGTATTTTTAGCTCTTTATCCTTACAGAAATCCATCTATCCAGAGCCCTCAGGGTGAGTATAAGGTACTCCTTCCTTCATGACAGTTTGCCATTTACCTCTCCAGCCTCTTTGCTTCCTAGTTCTTAACTAGCCCTCTGTGCTCTGACCCTCCGAGCTGCTTCCAGTTCCCAGATGCCTACTCTTCTAGATCGTTCTGCCTTGTTCATGCCACTCCTCTGTTCACACCACTTCCCAGCCTTGTCCACTGGAAGAACCCCTCTTTACTCTTTAAGATTCGTTTCAGTGTCCCCTCCTCTGTTATTTCCTGGAAACCACAGAGAAAGTTGATTACTCCTTCCTCTGGACCCTCACTAGAGCTTAGAGTCACCTTTATGGGAGGACAAATGACTCACTTTGTTCTTTTATTTACTTGTTCTTTTTAGACCAGGGACACTTGGAGAGTAAAAACTGTATTATTTTCTCTTAATTAAAACGTATCCAGGGGATGAAATGGATTACTGGGAGAAGGTTTTGTGGACTTGAGTTAGGCTATGAACGTTGTATACATTTGAGGACATATGTATCTAAGTCAAGCCTTTCTTTAGGATTTTAAAAACTATCTTGAAATAATTTTAGACGTATAGAAGAAAGCTATGAATTTTGAATAGGATTTGGAGACATAAAGAAAGGGAAAACACTCTGAACTTTTTAAATGACCTGCACAGTTCAAGGAATAACAGCGTTTGTGTGGGTCCAGGAGGAAACCAGCCTGGGGAGAATGGAGGAGGAGCAGGCAGAGAAGCGGGTTCCCTGTGGCAGACAGTAGGGAACTCTGGCAAGTTTTAAAGCAAAGGAGAGGCGGGATGGTAAGGCTATTAAAACAAAAGGAGCCAGACAGTATGGACTAGAGGGCAGAAAGAGGAAAGGCTGGAGTTGGGAGATTTGCCAAATAGGAGCCTCTTGTGATTAAATTGAGGAACAATGGCCAGTGTGGGAGGTAAGGTGGTGACCACAAACAGAGGAGGGGCAGAAAGGAGACACGTGTACATACGGAACGTTCTGAGTCCCATCAGCAAAACACACAAACAAAACCAACTCTCTTTGTTCTCCAGCTATTAACGGATTTCTCTGTTTTTGTTCACAACAAAACTCGTCACAGAAGTTGTTCACATTGTCTGGAGTTACATTCCCTTTGCCATTCTATCTCGATACCACTCCAAAAGTCTTTTTTTTTTTTTTTTTTTTTTTAAGGTTTTTTTGCCATTCTATCTCGATACCACTCCAAAAGTCTTTTTTTTTTTTTTTTTTTTTTAAGAGGTTTTTGCTGTAGGGTGTATGCGCTGGTCAGAGAGACAGAAAACAAGAAATCCCGAAATCACCCCCCAGGGGGGATGGCCATGACACAATCCCTTCTTCTCCATTCTCCTTTGGGATCTTGGGCATGCACCCGGGGGGAGTTTAAGCCACCAGGCCCAGGACTCGAACCACGGTCGACTACATGGGAGTCCAGCGACACAGCCATTACACCAACTGCTGGTCCCACTCCAAAAGTCTTAACAAAGACCTCCAATTGTTTGATTGCCTAACCCAGTGGTTCGTTTCAGACTTTTCTTACTCTGCTTCTTGACAATATTTAACATGCTTGACTATTTCTCCTCTTCGAAACATGTTTTCCACTTGATTTATGGACAACACAATGGTTCCCCTTCTAACCCACTGGCAGCTCCTTCTCATCTCTTCTCTGAATCCTTCCCAATTTCTAAACATTCGAGGGCCCCAAGGCTATTGGTCTCTTCCCTAACTATTCTCAATCTCTGGGTTAATTTATTCAGTTGTATGGCGTTATCTATCATCCCTTTGCTGATGGCTCCCAAACTTATGTGCTCATCCTCAGTCACTCCCCTGAACTCTGTATCTTTTTAATCATCTGCTTATTAGCGTGTCCTACAGGTATCTCAAATTTAACATACCCAACAACAAACTTCTGGGTTTTTTATTACCTCCAAGCCTGAAATTTCCTGAATCATCTCAGTAAACAATAATAATATTCTTCTAATGACTCAGACCAAAAACCTTAGATAATCTATGTCCCTTTGTTCCTCTACCCTCATCTCTCACAGTTCTCTTGCTCTTCCCGTCCAGCTATCATACTGGCTTCCTTTGTTCCTTGAATTTGCCAAACGTACTCATTCCTGATGTGTTTATGCTCACAGTTCCTTTACATAGCATGCTCTCCCCCCGGATATCTTCACGACTCATTCTCTCCTTCATTCAGATCTCTGGCCAAATGAGGCATCCCCTGATACTCCTATGTACAAGCAGTAACTCCCATTACTCTCTCTCCCCTTACTCATTTTTTAAATCATCACTTGGTGTATATTTTTCACTGTCTCTCTTCTCCCCAGCTTAGAATTTAAGCTTCATGAGATGAGAACTTTACCTAATTTGTTCACTACTATAATTCCAATTCCTAGGAAAGTTTCTGGTGTGTATTTATTAAATGGAGAGAGAAAAAAGGAATGCAGGAAGGGGAAAAAAAAGAGTAGAAAGATGGAGTCAAGGAAGACTTGTGGAATGAGGACACACTTGAGTTCAATGTTAAGAAAACAGCCATGAAATACACAGTAAGAGAAGTCATGACCAGGAAGATTTGAGTCTGCAGCAAGAAGCACAATACAAGAATTTCTTTTCAGATATATGTAAATAAACCATGAGACTATGAAAATGCAGTGTTGAAGTTAGAGCACAAATACATAGAGACCAAGGGTGGGTTAGAAACTAGGTAAGCAGATGACTGGTCAGACCAGAACCAGAGGAAACAAAGAAAAAGCAAGGATTGGGGGTCAGATCCTGGCAGAGAATGAGACCGTCTGAGACCTGTAAACACCAAGAAGTGAGGGCAAAACAAGGAGAGGGGCAACTGATACCTTAGTAAAAAAGAAACATGGATTTTGGGGACAAATTTTTGAGCCAAGCCAGCCAGCGCTTTCTATGTTCTTACCAGGATGCAGACAAGTCCCAAGAATGAGTGGACTCAGTAAGTAGACTCTGAAAGGGACAGTAAATCTCTGATGACAGGGACCCCAGCCATAAGATTTCGGTTATAGTGGGCTCTCAACGAATGATGACCGATAACAGGAGTGGGTGGTGGTTGTTATTATGTAGAGGGAGTAATGTAGATGAGAAGAGCAGGTTTTGACCCACAGGGTTTAAAAAAAAGACTACTCAAAAGGAACTCAACTGGTTCAAAACTAAATGACTGGGAGAACACTGATCCAATTTATTAAGACCAGGAAGTTAGAAAGAGTAGCCAGTTGGAGATGGAAAAGATAAGATATGTGACTGTGATTGAAGAAGTCCAGAAAAATCAAAGATGCGGTTGAAGGAGTAATGACAGGGGTAGCGAATGCTTACAAAGTAGCAGGTATTCTTCTAAGCGCTTTACACACATCAGTTCAATTAGTGAGGCAGGCACTAGCCCCATTTTACAAACAAACTTGGGGCCAGCAGGTGGTACAGTGGTTGAGGCACTGAACTCCCACATGGTTGACCACAGTTCAAGTCCTGGACCTGGAGGCTTTAAACTCATGCTGGGCCTGGGCCTGTGAGCCCAAAGTCCTGAGAGGAGAATGGAAGAGAAGGGATTGTGACATGGCCATGCCCCCTCGGGGTGTGATTTCTCACTTTCTCTCTCTGTGTCTCGTTTTCTCTATGGCGAGAGCAGGCACCCTCTAGCAAAAATCTATCAAAAAAAGCAAACAAACAAATGAACAAACTGAAGCAAAGAGAGGTTGAAAATGAAAGCTCAGTGTTTACAACGAACTTCAATCTGAAGCAGTAATGAATAGTTTTGCTAAAAGAGAACAAAACATGTCACATTCTTAAAGTGAGAGCAACTCTTCTGTGTTGCTACCTTATGATAACCATCAGGCACCATATAATTTCTTACTTTAACCCTACCTGGAGGCTGAAATTGAAAGATGAAGCCGGAATTGTTCCCAGACATTGCCAAATGTTTCCCAGGGTTCGAATCCAAGCCTTTCTGTTTCCAGTACCAATATTCTTTCTTTCCACCACTCTGTCTTCTGCTATGGATACTGACCTAGGTAAGGAAAAATGAATGAATATTGTATTGCATATAACCAAAACACTCTTTACCCCTCTGATTTTTTACTCTATATTTAATGAATTAATCTCTCACAGAGACATCTTATGAATTTGTTAAACACATTAACTACCTAATATTTTACTGAGCACTTAAAATGTGCTAGGCACTGTTTTTAAAACTTCTATTAACACAGTCACTCTTTAAAATGACTCTGTGAGCTAGCTGCTTTAAGAATTTTATCTAAAGACAATAAAACAGGCACGGAGAGGTTACATAATTAGCTCAGCATCACATAGGTAGTAAGTAAGTGACAAAACCAGTCTTCAAAGTCAGGCAACCTGTCCTCCCAGCCCACACGCAAGGATCGTGTCATGTGACCTTTCCATAGTCCCAGAACCTAAGATCAGCGTTCTCTCATCTAGAAACTGACTGATCACAACACCCCCAGGTACCATTTACCGGACACACCCCTGGGTAGAGATGCACACTGAGGACAGACTAGGTGGAACGAGATTTCTTTCAGAGGAGCTGCTGCCATCACTGCCCGAACGAAACTTGTCCCTAGTTTTGTATTCTGAGAACAATTTCTCAGTGTCGAGCAACTGGCATTTTGGACTGGATAATTCTCCATTTGGGGAGGGTGGTCTTATGCATTGCAGGGTGTTTAACAGCATCACTGAGGCCTACCCACTAGATACCAGTAGCACTTCCCAGTTGTGACAACCAAAATTGTCTCCAGACATTGCCAAGTGTTTCCCAAGGGGGTGGGGTGGGTTGTACTGATTAATAAACATTGATTTAATGAAATAAAGAGAGCGGGAACGTTAAAGTAAACGTGGAAAAATGTTAACAATCAAGGACCAGAAGATGGTATCACGGTTACATGGCTGGACTCACACATAGTCAACTGTGGTTTGAGTCCCGGACCTGGCACCTTAAAACTCATGCCAGGCATGTGTGTGTGCGTGCCCAAGATCTTAAGAAGAGAATGGAGGAGAAGGGATTGTGGCGTGGCCATCACCCCTGGGGGATGATTTCTTACTTTCTGTTTCTCTGTCTTTCCAGTGCGCACACATACTCTATAGCAAAAATCTCTCTTTGGAAAAAAAAAAGATGAATCTAGTGAAGGGAATATGGGAGTTCCTTATACCCTTCTTACAAATTTTTATTAGGTTAAAATGATTTCCTTTTTTTTTTTTTAAACAATGATTCCATTCAACTTTATTTATTTATTTTTAAATTTGACCAGAGAGGGACAGAAAGACAGAGAGAGGGCAAGTGAAAAAGCAAGCCACCAGGTCTGGGACTTGAACCTTGGTGGGCCATGTGGGAGTCCAGCGGCCCTAACTACCACACCACCTGCCAGCCCCAGTTAAAATGATTTCTAAAGAAAAATTTTACAGAATCACAGCTTTTCGATTATGTTGCAGAGAAAAACACATGTAGACTTTGAATGGTGGGTTGATATCAATTGTCTAGGATAAAGGAAAATAATGCAAGGTATAGAATTTAAATATATAATAAAATCCTATGACTATTATCAAAGACCTGTCATGACTTTTATTTGTTTTTATTTAATCTAATTTTTGGTATTTCATTTTCTTTTAACTTATTAGGACATATCCCAAAAATGCTGCCACTCAGTATTATCCAAGAGAATTCTCAGAAGAGGAAAAAGAATCACTCGAACAGTCAAAGACTTTGAGTGATTTTCTTAACAATGTGTCTATAAGGTAAAAAGTTATATATTACATTTTTAAAATAAAACAAAAAATATGTATGTTTACTTATAAAAATAGTTCTCAATAAATAATTCTACTTATGTACCATTTTTTAAAATTTAAATATTTTTCTCCACTCTTTACTCCTCTTCATAACTTCATTGACTTTTATAGGATGATGAAGATAAGGATAATGTGGATGTTAAGGATGAAAATTATTATGATGAGAGGTTTTTTTGTTTTTGTTTTTGTTTTGATTTTTGCCACAGGGCACATGTGTCTCTCTGTCTCTCTCTGTCTGTCTGGCGAGCTCACGCACCCTATAGTGAAAACCTCTCAAAAAAAAAAAAAAAAAAAAAACTCCATACTGGTACCAGGACCTGGGTAGACCTAGGGTTTTTAAACTACAGAAAGAGCTTGGCATTGTCTCCTCAGCTGTTTTAGGAGGTCAGAGGAGAGAGATCAATGGACAAGTCAGTAAGTTGTACTCAATAGAATGGCTTCCATTTCTTTCCAAAATTATAAACTTGTTTCTCAAGTTTATAAAGGAGGAGTCTGCAAAAAGGCCCTGGAACTTTTTGAAAAAAAATTATGAAAAGAATTACGCATGAATTTCAAAATTATTTATACTAAAATAACCTCATACTGTAATTCTATTTTCCATGAAAGTTTTGAATCTGCTAGTACAGTGCAAGTTAAGCTTTTTTATTTTTATTTTTAAGAAAAAAAACACCATTGATGTTTTCTTAAATGTCTTAAAAATTTCAACAGCTCTCAAAAGTTGCAACCTATGCTTAGGGAGAATCTGGTTCAAAAATTCATTTGATGGTTCAGAGAGTACATTCATTATTTGCCACTCACTCACAGGAAGCATGTGTAATTTTTTCTCACGGGGGCAATGGTAAAGGAGTAAGAGAACCTAGGGTCTGTTTTCCTTCATATCAAAATTAGGTTGTCACTAAAAATTTTTCTGATAAGAACATTAAAAATGAGAAGTCTGTTTACATAAGATTAATGTTCAGGGAAAACAAGATCTTGAGGGAATGAAATAAGTAAATAAATAAATGGCCAATTGTCGATTCTCAATCATCCACCTTGTGTAGTATCTTGAGACAAGAGGCTTTTATTTTTCCCTTTCAATTGCTACGCTTACAAAGAAAAGAATTGTGAGTAGCTTTATAATTCCCTCCCTGAGGTGTGGGAAGAAGAAACAGAAGTATGAAGAAGAGGAAAATGGGCACAGGAATTGCATATCACTCAAGAGTCAGTAAGAAACCCATGTTCATATCACTGCCGTGCCTCCAACTTACAACTGTTTAAAGTTTGTTTCATATTTTTAAATTAATATAAGTCTGATTTTTCTCTGGAAGAAAGCCCTTTTAGAAGTGAGTTTTTTCTTTCTCATAGGATTTTTATTTACAGCAAAGGGAAGTATTTTTTGCACAAGAGGGAAATAATATGAGAAGAGAAAGAGAAGAGTTCAAGGCGATTCACAAAGCAAATAAAAAAACCTTCATTTGGGGTTAAAAAAATTGATGCTCATGGCCTTTACTTCCCGTGACCATTTTGCCAGCCTCTGACTCATTCCTCTCAGGAACCTCATGGCTCCTTGAAATCAAGCAGCTGGAAACCAGAAGGAAGGTGTTGTCTTCACTTCTCCTGTGAATTACTTCCCGTTCTGGATGAGAGGGAAGGCTCGGGAGTCTCGCCCTGACTCTTCTTCTGAAAATTCCTTTCTTACTCAGGCTGAAGCAGAAGGAAGGAAGACACTGAAAATGCTAACTAATGCTTCTACTGGAAACTGAGCTTAAACCCTGAAGCTCCAGGGTGTGAACCTACCCTACAGAGGACTACAGAGGACTATTCAAAGTTCCAAGTGCAGCTGACCCAGCTGGGGATCTTATTAAAATGCAAGTTCTATGGGCCAGCAGGTGGTATAGTGGTTAAGGCACTGGACTCCCACATGGTCGACTGTGATTCAAGTCCTGGACCCGGTGTCTTGAAACACACAGTGAGCACATGTGTATGTGTGTCCAAAATCCTAGGAGGAGAATGAAGGAGGAAGGACTGCAGTGTGACCATCCCCCCTGGGAGTGTGATGTCTCACTTTCCCTCTCACTGTCTCTCTGTTTCTCTAACAAGCACACACTCCCTATCACAAAAATTGAAAGAAAGAAAAAAAAAAAAAAGGCAGGTTCTGACAAGGATGGAACCCGTGTTCTGATGCTGCTGTTCCGTGGACGGCAGGTTAAGCAGCAAGGTCCAGGGAACTGCTTCTGTTTTGAAAGATAAAGCACAAGGAGACTTTAACCAAGAGAGTATTCAACTAGGTGGTAATAATAATGACTAACGACAGAGCTATCCAATGTTTTTATTTTACATTTTAGGACATATATTATGATATTTAGTGTTTACATTTAATTGTCTAGATAAAGATTTTTTTCTCATTTTAAAAAATTTATAATTAAGAACCACTCTTTCAGCTTACAACACCTATTTTAAAAAACACAAAACATTTGAATTTATGAGTATTAATATTAAACTCTAAATGGCATTCTAACTGCAGGAAAACTTTTAAGAGGCCTCAGAGTAAGATGAGCTTTCAAACACAAGCATATGAAGAAATAATACACATTCTGATTACTGTTTTAAGACAGAAGCATGTCAAACCAGGGTCCCTAGACTATTAAGAGATGATCCTAGCATTCCGTTTCTTTTCTTTTTTTTTTTTTTTAAGTTTTTTTGCCTTAGGGCAGTGAGAGAGAAAAAGAGACACAGTGAGAGGGAAAGCGATGGCCACACAATGTTTTCTCCTCCATTCTCTTCCCAGAATTGCATGCACACGCACCTGGTGTGATTTTCAAGCCACCAGTTCCAGGACTGGAGCCAGGGTTGGCCATGTGGGAGTCCAGAGACGTAACTGCTACACCATCTGCTGGCTCCAGCTTTCAGTTTCTTAAAGGAATAATGTCAGGACTGATCCCGCAGCATTTGGCTAAGGGACCAGGATCCCATAGAGCTGACCATAGTTCAGATCCTGGCCCTGGCAGCTTGAGAAACAATCAGTCACATGTACGTCGGCGCCCAAAATCCCAATAGGATAAAGAAATGGAGGAGAAGGGACTGCAGCATGATCGTGCCTTATACTGGGGAGTGTTTCCTCTCTCCCTTTTTCCTAACTGTCTCTCTCTGGCAACCATACTCTGGCAATTAAAATAAAAAGAGGAGCAATATTAACATTTTTAGTAGCATGATCCTTCATTTTAGAGACTGTGTCATGCAATTCAGGAGGTTTAGTAATGAAATTAACCACCTCCCAGGCACTGTGACAACTGAAACTACCAGTATGCCCTTGCAAGCACACACACATGCATACACACACGCACACACACACATATTTCTAAACTCCACATCTCCCCTTGTTGAGACACTCTTATCTGTTGTTTTGAATTCTGTATGTATTGGGAATGTACTCACTTAATGTACATAATCATTTAGTCCTGAATATGCTTCAAAAGTTGCTTTTTGTGTTGGTTTGGGCTTTCCAGAGAGCAGAGAAGTCCAAATCAGAAGCTGGGTTACCTTGTGAAAAACCAGGGGGAGGAAGCAGGATTGGCAGGTAGAGCTTTAGACACTTCTCAGCCACCCCAACAGCAGCTCCAGAGCAAAGCTGTCCGGTGGAAGGAACCCTGCACACAGTGGGACTGGCCAGGCCCTGGCATTCCCGCGGCCACTGCACTCATTCACTGGCCCAGACAGAGCACGGCCTCGGCTTGGACGTGAGGCAACTCTTGAAGCTGCCAGAGGGGACCAGCCAAGGCACTGCTGGCAGCTAAGCAGCAAGTCCTCGAAAGGAGTCCTGAGCAGCACTCGGTCATGCACTGTTTTCTCTTATGCCATTTATTAATCAGTATTACCAATTATAACTGATCGTTGTTCTTTTCTAGTCAGTATAAATGAAGTAGGAGGATGCTAAAGTAGTCATCTCATTGAATACGGAGACCCAACTTCTAAATTCTTTTTAAAATTTAATTTGCTAAACAGTGTTGAAATAGCCCTGCAGCAAAATGAAATCACAAACACATTTGTTGATGACTGGAAATACCTGGCAGAAGAAGAAAGTACCTTTGGGGACAAGACTGACACCCACCTGAAGGAGTACCAGTCATTTACTGACCTTCATAGCCCAACGGAGAAAATGATTACCTGTGTCTCGTGGCATCCAACCATCTACGGTGAGATGGATGTGACATGGATTCCCTCTTGTGATGACACTGTATCTGCTGCTTTATTTAGTTTTTTAAAAATGTGCCAGAGGGTGTGTGCACTGGCCAGAGAGAGACCGAGAGAGGAGACAGGGAGAGAGCACTCCCCCATGGGAAATGGTCACACTGCAATCAATCGCTTCTCCTCCATTTCTCCCTCCTTTAGGGACTTGAGCACTCACGCATATTCACCTGACATGTTTCTCAAGCGGATAGTCTGGGTTAGCCTGACACACAGTGCAAGTGGGATCCAGCTGCCTTAACCACCAGGGATCCATTAGCCCAAGTCTGCTGTTTTTGAAATGTAAAATGTCAAACTAGCTCCATTTCAATACAATGCCTTCCATTTGCTGAAAGCAAGACTCCTGCCAAGCACTTCCCACGCTTTTGCCTTCCCAGCAATCTCTATTTTATGAGAGAACCAGAGCTCAGCGTAAGGAAGTGACTTACCCAGGTCGCCCGGCTGGTGCATTGCAGAATTTGGATGTGAGTCAGGCTGTTAAATCCACTCTTCCTCATGCCCTGCCTGTTTGGTTACTGGACAAGATGGGTAAGCCATCTCTTATGGAGCTCAGCAGGCAAGGAGGTGGGAACCTGTGACCATGGAACCACAGAAAGACAGGTCCTTGCTCTCCTCCTCCTCCCGCACCCCACTGGCAATTTTCTTATGAAAAAGAAACAAAATGTTTTTCTCAGTAAATATTCATGGTCCGCTGCTTAATTTTTACTGAGAGCACATCTCAGTTTGGACCAGCCACATTTTAGCTGCTGAATGACATAAGGTTAGTCATAGCCATCTTCAGCAGCAGAGCTCTAAGACAACCCTTGGTCTCCTGTGAAATATTCTTAACCAATGTTCACCAAAATGTGAATAATGACTAACTGTGTAGAAATGCAAAAGCTGAGCTGCCTCCGTGGCCTGGTGGTTAAAGCAGCCGGATCCCACATGGCGAAGCCTGCAGTTTGAGTCTCAGACTCAGCGGCTTGAGAAACACATCAGGCACATGTGCATGTGTGCCCAGAATCCCCAAAGGGAGGAAGAGATCAAGGAGAAGAGATTGTGGCATGGCCTTTCTCACATGAGAGTGTCCTCTCTCTCTCTCTCTCTCTCTCTTTCTCTCTGGTGAGCACAGGCACCCTCTACCAAATTAGTTTTTAAGTGTGAAAGCTAGAACACTTCCCCATGTCCCATTGGTGCTAACTTTCACTTCTACTTGTGTCTCTATCAGGGCTAATAGTTGTGTCAGTAGCTGTGCGACTGTCCTTTGAAGACAGAGTCCACTTTTCTGATAAGTTATTGCTGCAACCATCGCTGATTCTTTTCTGGAGTTTCTCTGACCCCATACATCCTCAGGTAATTAAGGAGAGTTGCACAGGTAGCCCAGAATTTTCAAATACTACTTTCACATATATCTTTAACAGTTTTTATTGCACTGTCTTTATAATCACTGAATCAATGTGATAAGCCCTTATTAAGTTAGGCTTTTGCATTGCAGAACTTATCATTATTCAATATGAGCAAAACTGAAGTTTCTACTTAGTTTATTGAACAAATGTATTGCGTAAATCAACATGTTGTCATTATTTTTTAAGAGGAATGTTTAGCCTATTTTAAAAAGCAAACATTTTATAGACTTTATTTAACTACTAATTTCTCAAATACAAATAGATTATAGTTTCACATGAATTGTGAAGATCACCAAGAGGTTATGGTAATGAATGAAGATGACTGTGTAGGAGTAGGAGTTCAATGGTGGTGGGGGCGGGGGGGACTGTGGCCCTAGAGAGTGCACAGCCCATCTGTGGGGACAGCTACTCTTCAGCTCTCTTGTTGCCAGGTCAAGAGAACTCTGAACTTTGGAATTCTGTGTGAAATTCCTCACTTTAAATAAATGTAACCAAACCAACCCAAAACACACAAAATTCACTCAAAACAAACCAAAACACATTACCACCCAAATAACATGCGGCTGAAAGCTGAGTTTGCCTCATGGGTTCTAGTTTCTGTTATCAGCTCGGTAGCATTCTGCTGAATGGGAGCGTGCCTTATTGTGTGAGATGAAGTTTTTCAAGATACTTAAATAAGATTTTGCTTCTATAAAGTATTCCGTAGTTAAGACCTTCCTTAATAAACCCTAGACTTCCGTTTTCCCTTATCCATCTGAATTAAGGCTGTTTTGCTGTGAGAAACTCTAAATACTTTAATTGTTATAGACCCAGAGATCAAAATGACAGATCGCTACCTCTTCCTTGTCCACCTACTTGTCATAAAATACATTCTCTTGCTATGCTTTTTTAAACAAATTTTGCCCTGTGGATCTACTGTCCACTCCATGCCAGGGAAGCGTGGCTTATAGGCACTTCAGAAGAAGGACGGACCCAGGTTGTCTCTGTTTTGAAGAATAGCTTTAAAAAGATAAGCAATTTTAAAAAGAAATTTGCAAATAACTTTTTTCTTTGTTTCAATCAAAACTATAGAAGAACATTAAGAGATTTTATTTTCCAAAGTAGAGGTTTCTCTGGAATCTATGAAGTACCATATAAACCAAGATAGAGTACCTTAATTCTGGTTTGAATCCTTTAGCCCCCTGGTGGTAAAACAAAGGCATAGTGGGGCCTATTTTTTTTGGTCACTGTCTAAAGAAGAATGGTAACCACGGTAATCACGTTAGCATTTTTCTTGGTGGTTACCCAGTAGCATAGGTGCTCACTGTTGTTAACTATACCTTGAACTTGTGGATTTTTTGCAGGGCTTGTTGAGCTTTTGGTTTTGTATTATAATACTTAAAAATTAGAAATACAGCTGGCAATAACTCCATTTTCTCTCAGTCAACAATTTCTGAGTTCCTGCTGTGTATATGACAGGGAACAAAACAGACAAATACCCTGTCTTTACAGAGTTTACCTCCCACATGTCTCAGAAACATCAAGTTCATAGTCTTTTTTTTTTTTTCATTTTGGAGAGGTTTTTGCTATAGGGTGCGTACTCTCACCAGAAAGAGGGACAGAGAGACAGAAAGAGAGAAATCACCCCCCAGGGAGGATGGCCATACCACAATCCCTTCTCCTCCATTCTCCTCTTGGGATCTTGGGCACACACGCACACACTCCTGGTGTGAGTTTAAGCCACCAGGTCCGGGACTCGAACTGCAGTCAACTACATGGGAGTCCAGCGACATAGCTGTTATGCCAACTGCTGGTCCTGAAGTTCATAGTCTTTATTGTTTTTGGGGAGCCAAAGAGGAGACATGAAGAATGTGCAGGACATGACCACCAGAATAAGACCAGGGTCTTTATCCGGACAGGACCTTGGATGGCTGGATTGTTATGAGCAGAATATCTTGGGATTGTTTTGAAATGAATGTTCCAAAGTTTTGTAATAACAACCTGATAAATTCAATAAAGACTTAAAACCTTACATCACAGAAGTCTCTAGAGTGTGTATAAATACTAGCAATAAAGTACATTTGTGGCTGACCAGTCCTGACTGGCAGTCCCCCCGTTTCTATCCTGTCTTCTTGTCTTTCTTTAATCCTCGCCCCCCAACTCAGGAACTGTTCGCCGTCGGCAGGTCCGACAATTGTTTATAAAAGTCATAACGGATGCCTAAAGTTGCCTGACCTTTTTCTCTCTTGGGGGTGAGGAGAGAGATCTGGGTCCCTTTGGGGATATAACATATGGCCAATGTCCACGATGAAACTCAGCAAAAGCAGCTCCCGACACAGAGGGAGAAATCTGGGAATGGACTCTAAATGCACAGTGCTTATAGGCAGGTATGAAATTAGACTTTTAACTGTCTTAATACCATTTTCCAGCTGCAGTCCTAATAGGTTTTCTCCCACTTTCTTGAATTTGCCGGATTTGCTTTAGTTAATGCTGGAGAGCCCCGAAGACATCTTCTGCTTCCAGTTCTGTCCCAGTGACCCTAACATCATTGCTGGAGGCTGTATAAATGGGCAGGTACTTACACAATTTTTTCCAGCTATTTATCAATGTTGACAACATTCTGTAATAAGTTTTGACTTGGTAGTTTTTTGGAGTTCAGAATTCTATTCAGCAGAAGGAAGGTATACCAATTACATGCCAATCACCATGCTAAGCACTAGCGTCTAAAGGTGAGTTAGACATGGGACTGGCACTCAAGGAGTTCACAGGTAACCCAGTTGTAATAACTAAAACATGGAGTCCATTTAGTTGTGTTGCTAGACTACATATTACATAAAATACCACAGAAGAACAAAAGCTACATGCATTACTGTCTCTTGGAAAAGAGGCCTCTTCTGGAATTTCTCAGGAGTTAAGAGAGGATCCAGGATTTAAAAAGAAATTCACTGGAAAACATACATATGTCATTGAATTTATATGTCTATAATTTGACATGTTTGCTTTTTTTCTTCTTTTTAGCCAATTTACATAAAATTTAGACCTTATTCCTCATTATCTTGTTTCTTTAGTTAAGCAAAACAAAAACCTTAAAGCCCTTTTTTGATCAAAGCTTAAATCCATCTTGACTCAGTGACTGGCCGTTAAAAGGGTACATGTTGTTCTCCATGAGGCTAGGAAAGTGCCCTGTGGTTGAAATCAGTCTGCGGCTTCCATGTCCACTTATCCAGAACCAGAACATCAGAGAAAATACATTTCTCCTCCAGTTTTGTTCAACAATAACTAAAGGTCATAATCATAACCAAGAGCCCTTTCAAGCCTTGCAAATTCTGGATTTTTTTTTTAAATTCACTACAAAGATGAAATGACTTTGTCTTACAATATTTTAGAAAAGTATGTGATGAAAATAAAGTCACTCATTGGTAGAAACTGAAAGACTGAAGGACATAAAAGCATTAAAAATTGTTATGGACACTAGATAAAGCAGAAGGAGAATGTGGGAGGGGAAGAGTGAAGGAAAGGAAATTAGAGGGAAAAACAGAGAGAAGATATTTGTGGGACACAGACATAGTTTATTATCTGTTGATGAGGATGTGTATAGTATTCTCAGCTGGACTGAGATGTGTATCATTCTGGGTAAAATCTCTTTACAATCTAAATGATGTATAGTGATTTAAAGTATAAATAATAATAATAATAAGGAAAAGAAAAAAGAAAGAAAATAAAGTCATTCACAATTCTGCAACCCTGACATTCTGTTAACATTTTAGTATACTAAAAGACCTTTTGGTCATTGGAAATTAATTTAGTGCTACATATTATAATTTTTTTTAATGGCCATTCAGGTAAAAGCAAATCCAGAGATGGCCATAACATTCAATTAAATAGAAACTGTCCCTTCCGGCCCTGTTTGAGAATAGGCCATTCCCCCTGTGTTAAAGCAGCTGTCTCTACAGTCACAGCACAGTCCCAAAGACAGAGAGAATTCTTCTCAAAGAAAGGGGAATTAATTCATTGCATGGCATTCACGTTGGATTCTTCCTTTAAATACTAGCATTTTTAAAAATAGCCGGAGGGCACATGTACTTGCCAGAGACATAGAGAAAAGAGAGAAAATGCAAAAGCACCCCTCATGGAGAGTGGTCATGCTGCAATCGCTTCTACTCTGTTTCCCCTTCCTTTCGTGATTTTTGGCATGCTTGCACACATGTCTGGAGTCAAGATGCCAGGTCTGGAACTTGAAGTGCATAGCCAGCATGTGGGATTCAGCCATTTCAATCACCACACCATGGGCTGACCTAATACTAGCATTTTTTAACACAAGTATAAAAATCAAAAGTACTTTTATAGAAAAGAAAGCATTCTCATGTATATTACCTTTAAAAGTTGCTGACTAACTTAAGATACAGGCTAAATCAGATTATTCCCTGCTACGGTTTGAGTATGTCCCCCAGAAATGCATGTGTTGGGATTTGATTGTATTGTCTGTATTGTAAGGATATTAAGTGAAACTTAATTTCCCAGAGTGAGGTCTAGGGGGCAGTGATTGGTCCACAGGTTCATGATGATTGCATCGTGGAGGTACCATCATGAACAAATTAATGATGTCTCATGAGGTCCAGTGAATTCTAGTTCTCCTGAAAAGGAGTCTGTTCTCATGAGAGTTGGTTGTTATAAAAGAGTGATCAGGTCTGGTCCCACGGCCTAGGAGTTAAGGGAGTCAGATCCTACATAGCGGACCAAGTGGTTCAAATCCCAGCCCCGGTGGCTTGAAAAACACTCTTGGAGTGTGTGTGTGTGTGTGTGTGTGTGTGTGCTAGCCCCAAAATCCTGACAGGATGGAGAAGAGATTGTGGAATGATCATGACCCATTGAGGGGTGCTTTCTCCCTCTCCACCTCTCTGGTGAACTCTCGTGCCCTCTGGCCTAAAAAAGAGAAAAAGAGAGCGAGATAGAGATCAGTCAAGATCTTTCTGTGCATGCCATCCTCTAGGCCCTGGTCGGCCATTCTGTAGGCCAAGTCTTCAACTTTCTAGCTACCATAATAGCGAGCTTGGAAATATACTTCTGTCTTCATAAAAGCACCCAGGCTCAGGTATTTGTGTTAGCAGTGAAATAATGAGCTAAGACTTAGCAGGCCGCACACCAATTTCTACAAGTAAAATCTCTAAGACCAGATTAACTCTTTCCTGAACATATTATAACATTTGTTTCTGTTTTAGGTCGTCATGTGGGATATCACGGCACACGCGGACCGCATAGAAAATATCAAGGCAGGAGGGAGTAGAAGTAAAAAAGTCACACTGAAGGTGAGCTTTTGGTAACTTCTCACTTGTATGTCTTTTCCATTGGGTAGTTTATTTAACACAAACTCTGTTTTTGATAAACAACTACATACAGAGTTGGCAACTTTAACAAAGACACAGGAAGAAAGGAAGAAAAAAAGAATGTTAGTTCCCAAGACTTCACAGCTGCCTGGGCATGTCCTGAATCACTTTTACATTGGCCCTTGATTAAAAACACAACAAAACAAGGTGCATCATCTATCCCAAGACATTCGGTTCTTTCTTGTTGTTACTATATAAGCGATATAGTTGAAAGAGCGCTGGGCAGAAAGGCCTGGGAGCCAGGCTCTGCACCACAATCCTGAGAGTTTGGACACTCAACTTTACCTCAACGGAAGGTTTCCTCATGCATCAAATGAGCAGTTACAATCCTTTCTGACAATGATATACCATGATTTTGTGAAGCTGTGGCATCTGCTAAGAGGGTTAAGACAGATCGCTCAGCTCCCAGCTCAGTACTTACCCACCACATTGCACCATCACCACCATCAGCCCAGGGCTTCAGCCCTGACATCAACAGGTCTTTTACCAAGGAATGGTGGAATGTGGGCTTGTGTGTGCAAAAGAAATAGTCCTACAAAACTGGGATGTCTCATTGAGTTTTCAGGGAGTAGGTCAATAACACTTGTTAAATTTAGAGATAGTGGGCCAGCAGATGGTATAATGATTACGTCATTGGATTCTCACCTAGTCGACCACGGTTTGAATCCCTAACGCTGAGCACATGTAAGTGCATGCCCAAAACCCCGAAAGAAAAATGGAGGAAAAGGGATTGCTGTGTGTGGGGGGGGTGATTTCTTGCTTTCTGTCTCTCTTTCTCTCACCATCTCTCTGGCGAGCACACATGCCCTATAGCAAAAATCTCTCAAAAAAAAAAAAATTTAGAGATAGGATCTTAGACTAAACTGAAGGGGAAAATAAGTAATTCTACTATCGAAGTACATGGTATGGAGAAACACTACTTCAGTTTTTCCTTGAACTGGTATAACTTCAAATTATTAATTTAATTGGAATGATGAGTAAAACAAGAGTCCAAAATACGAGTTCATCAGCTCTGTGAAACTAGCACATAACTTTCTTTTGACATTTTTCAGCCTATGTTTCTCCTCGAACCAGATAGTAATAAAGAAGCAATGTATATCAGACACTGTGCAGTCTCTTCGATAGAAAATGGACATAAGAAAGTAATTACAGATATACACTGGCTGTCTGATCATTTTGAGGTGAGTCTTGATATTTTTATACTTCTCTCCTGCTGGATTGTGATTTCATCCAAAAAAGGTATTTCAAGTTAACAATTCATTTACATTTAAATTGTTAAATAAATGGAAACTGATCATCAAAATTTTGGGTCACTGCTGCCAGACCAGTATCTGACTTGGGTAAAAATAGGGACAGTCTTTCAGCTTGGATGGCTTATAAGTGAAAAACCTAGGTGATGTCACCATCAGTGTAAAACAAGGCCAGCCCTGTCGCATAGTGGTTAAGTACTGTGCATTGGGAATACACACCATTGGTATTTTATTTAATATTTAGCCTCTTTTCTACTGAGTTTAATGCTTAACAACTTCATAAAAGCTCCTATGTTCAGCTCTGCAATTAATAGTAAAAATGGAAAGAGCCCACATTTCTAATAATAATAGATATGACATTATGGTCATTATATATTACAAAGCTATTAAAATAATTTATGAATACATAAAATTTAAACTACGTGAAGTGGAAAATCTCAGGATAAAAATTTATATGCATTCTAATTAAAACCATGTAAAAATGTTTCTGTGACAAAAGATTGGACGAGATTACATGGCAGAATTGCACTTGACTTTAAAACCTTCTGTTTCCCAAACTACTGTGATATTATTGTGCTCTTTTATTAAGATTTAAAACAAAGGAGAAAAAAATTGAAAAGGAAAATTGCTATGAAAAGAAATCACTACTCACTTAGGTGCACAGAACTGACTTTTTCGCATTTTAAAAAACAGATTAACAGAATGGGCTTTGTCTTTGAGAATCGAAGTGGAATATGCTGTCAGCTTGTCACTTGCTCAGCAGATTGGTATGTCTTTTTTCAAACACTTTCTAATATGTTCTCATGCAATATATTTCCACTTCATCCATCATTATCTTATGACATAGAACAACGTAAAGGAAGTTTCCATTAATTAATAATGTGTGACTGATTTATGTAGAAAATTTAAGCTGATAGTATCTGTACTTAGTAAAGACAATTCATAAAAATGTAAATTAATGATGTAAATAAAGATTTAAGAAGAGTTATATAATTTTGAGAAAACAATTTAAAACCACTATAACATATTTGAAGACAGATCTTAACATATCACTTGTAGTATTCTCACAGTGACTTATGTTTTGCCAATATAAAAATAATAGCTATTTTTATTAATTTTAACCATTTATTCATTATTAAGATGAATACATGATTAATGTTCAGTAAACTGTATAAATGAATAACAATTTTTAATCTTAATTAGAGTTGCTTTTGTTTCTCTAAATGTTTAGCTTATATTAATACATCTAAATTCTTTAATATATCATAAATTCATTAATCAAGTTATTCATAACCTCAGTGATAAAAATTGTGGAGCTAATATAGCATTTTTTGCCATTATTATCGTCTATTTTAACATAGTAAAAGACACATTTTGAAAATTTTGCTGTTGGGGAACAGCAGTTGACATAATGGCTATGTCTCTGGACTCCCATGTAGTCATCTGCATTTCGAGTCCTGGGCCCGGTGGCTTAAACTCACACCAGGCGCATGTGCGTGTGTGCCCAAGATCCAGAGAGGAGAATGGAGGAGAAGGGATTGCAGTGTGGCCACCACCACCCCCACCCCGGGGAGATGATTTCTTGCTTTCTATCTCTGTCTCTCTCTCTGTCTTTCTGGTGAGCACACGCGCCCTACAGCAAAAACCTCTCCACAAATATATGTATATATACATATATATATATATATGTGTGTGTGTGTGTGTGTGTGTGTGTGTGTGTATATCCATGGTCATATTGCTAATGTGTAGCAGCACTAATGGTAGTCTTGAGGTTACATCTTGTATTTGTACTTAGAAAAAAATAAAATATAAATTTCTTTTTTAGCACAATATGTTTTTGGGATATTAGACCACAGAAACCTTTAACCCCCCAACCAATAGAGAAGAAGAAAGAAGAAAGTATTGAAATTCCTTTTGATGTACCATCTACTTTTTTGCATCTAGATCTCTCTTGGAAACCTCTCAGTAAGGTATGTAACGGGATTTAGTCCATCCTATTTGCTTACATATACTATGTAACTTGCATGCATAGACACACATATACTCTAAAAGTAGACCAGCTCAAATTAACAATGGACTTTACAATTTGCATATTTATTTAACCAATAAATTCCTCAATTGACAATTACTTTGATGGCTGCCTAGATTAAGCCAGAAATCAAAATCATTATGAATTCAAGATTGATATTTCACGTATAAATGAGTCACAATTTACAAACGGATTGTGTAATGATTACTCAATTGTGTATCAGTTGCTGAAAATTGGCAGGTCCTCAGGTTATTCGTGAAAAGCTAGTTTCCCTGTTACAGCCAAAACTGTGCATATTTTGAATATCAATCATAGGAGACTGTATTGCTACACTATCTATGACCAAACAGAATGGAAAAATAATTGAATGAGTAATTGTAATTATGCTGAGTGGCAGAACTTGAGAAAAAGCTATTTTAATTTGAGAACTATACGTCTATAGGATGGGATGTTTACGGAAGGTCAGACTGGACTTCGGACATTGATGACTCTCTTCACAAAGTCTAATTTTAATTCAAAACTTAATACTTTTCTTTTGGTTTATAATTATCACGAGGATTATATTTTTATGTATTTGCTCCCGAAGGAAGAGTATGGTGGGACGAGAATTTTTCTGAAGAAATTGGGAAAGAATTCAAAAGAGGATTAGAAATTTTCTGGGAAAGAATTTATTGAACTGTGAATAGTTAACAAAACAAAACAAATACTTCATCTAAGAATCATTGCATAGCATATGGCCCAACCTCTTGAAGAAGAAAAGTGATAGGGAGCTGTCAGGGGAAAATGTGAAGTGGAAGTTTCCCATTCTGGCCACTAGGGGGTGGTGCAGGCCCAGGGCCACTTCTAAAACTCTGGGGCTTGTGTGTCCCTGGTGGGGTTCAGAGGTGGCCCGGTGGATGCTGGATCCCTGCACAACTTCCTAGAGTTTCATCTAACTGAAAGGTTTAGGGAACATGGGAACAAGTCATTATTTTATATTAAAACATAGGGTGTATTTTGCAATAGAATACAAGACATTGTCAGAAAACAACACATGAGACTTTGCAGTCTGAAAGTGCTTCTCCCCACCCTCTACCCTGCAAAAAAAAAAAACAAGCTTCTTTCTACTCCAAGGTTTTAGAAACATGGTTTAGGTGCTTTCCATAAAGAAAAGCAACTAGAAATCTGAAGGAGAAAGGAGAAGGGAAAAGAAGAGGGAAGTGGGTCACCCTTGATCTGGGACATAAGGGAGAGGCACAAGTAAGTCACCCAAGAGTAATTTCAGGATATGTGGAAATAATCTTACTTGTGTGTTCTCCCAAAAGATAAAGCTGTCTAAGGGTGAGACAAGTTTAGATCACTGCCCAACCAAGATCAGCCTGAATGAAGACCATATTCTTTACAAGACACAAGGTAACTAACTGCCTTTGCTTACTTATAAGGCATTTAATAGTTTGTCAGTGACTGATTACGTCTAAGACGAATCACTAGCTACAATAACTTAATTTATAAAAAGAAGACAGAGAAGCAAGCCCTCTAAAATGGAATTTTATAATGGCTATAATAGCTACAAGCCAACAAATTAAAACTGCCTAGACACATGAAAAGAAGTGACAAAAATGAGCTGAATTCAGATTCACACTTATTTGAGTACACTTATGTATTTCCAGAAATGCATTACATTAAAAAAATGAATGAGGGGCCAGCAGGTGACATAGTGATTATGTCGCTGGACTCTTATATGGAGTCCACTGCTCAAGTCCTGACCTGGTGGCCTGAAACACACTGTGTATTTGTGCATGTGTGCCCAAAAGCCCAAGAGGAGAATGGAGAAGGGATTATGGCATGGCCATTCCCTCTGGGGGTGATTTCTTGCTTTCTGTCTCTCTGGTGAGTATATGTGCCCTATAGCCAAAATTCTCTCTTAAAAAAAAAAAAAAAAAGAATGAAGCCCACTAAGTGAATATGAATGTACTCAAAGAATAATTCTGTAGACCAGCAGTTGGCATGATGGTCACATTGCTGGGCTCCCACAAACTCAACTACACTTCGAATCCCAAACCTGGTGGCTTAAAACTTACACTGGGCACATATGCCTACGTGCCCAAAATCCCAAGAGGAGAATGAATTCTGTTGAATGGAAAATTCTGAAGTTCAACAAAATAAGTTATGAAGTACCAAGAAACAAATTACTGTTCTCAATCACAATATACTTTTTAAAACTAATATTCAGGGGCCAACAGGTGGCATAGTGATTGGGGTGCTGGACTCTCACACGGTCAACTGCAATTTAAGTGCCAAACTTGACAGCTTGAGAAATCATACCAGTCACATGTGCATGAATGCCAAAAATCCCAGGAAAAGAATGGAGGAGAAGGTATTGTGGCGTGGCCATCCCTCCTGGGAGGTGATTTTTTAACTTCCCCTCTCTCTGTCTCCTGTGAGTGCAGCACCCTATGGCAAAAACTAAAACAAACAAACAAACAAACAAACAAACAAATCTAATATACATGATAAAACTGAGTAAAGAAAGCCAATTGGCTTTTAAATGTAAATCAGTTCAACTCACACACCTTTATTAAAGTAATGAACAGTGAACACACGAGTATAAGTCATCAAAACTATTTATTTATATATATATATATTTTTTTTTTTTTGGAGAGGTTTTTTGCTATAAGGCGTGGATGCTCACCAGACAGACAGAGACAGAGAGACAGAAAAGCAAGAAATCACCCCCCCAGGGGGGATGGTCATGCCGCAATCCCTTCTCCTCCATTCTCCTCTCAGGATCTTGGGCACGCATGCACACGCGCCGGGCGTGAGTTTTAAGCCACCGGGCCTGGGACGCGAACCGTGGTCGACTACATGGGAGTCCAGCGACATAGCCATTATGCTAACTGCTGGTCCCCCAAAACTATTAAGTAGAGGTATGCATGTGTCTTCCATAATGCATAATGAAAAACTAACAACTGAAGTGCTTTCCAAGCATTTGCTTTACCAAAAAGATTTCCATTTATAAATTTCCCAATGTTGCATTAAATGGTAAGACATCTTAAAAAAATTGTAAATACCTTCTACCCAGCTTGAGCAAAATTTCACTTTGGAGCCATGTTTTATTGCTATACCCCAAAACCTCATCAAAACAAACAAAAAAAAGAAAGAAAGAAAGAAAGAAATCACTAAATTGTTACACTTTCAAAGCAATATTAAGACACTGCATCAGTTTTCTTTTTGCATATTTTATTTTTCCATTGTTTAGATTTTTTGCCATAGGGCACATGCACTGGCCAGAGATAGAGGGAAGGAAAGGGAGAAATCACCCCACCCGGGGGTGGGCGGGTGGCCATACCACAATTCCTTCTCCTTCATTCTCCCCTCAGAATTTCAGGCACAGATACACATGTGCCCAGTGTGATTTTCAAGCCACCAGGTCCAGGACTCAAACTGCAGTTAACCTTGTGGGAGTCCAGGGTCTTAACCACCACGCCACCTGCAGGTGGCCTGCTTTGTATATTTTGAAGCTCTGTTCTTAGATACATAAATGCTAATATTATGTCCTCTTGAATTGATTACACCCTTTACATCTCTTTTTTTAGGGGGAGGTTTTGCTATAGGGGGCATGCGCTCGCCAAAAAGACAGAGACAGAGAGACAGAAAGCGAGAAATAACCCCCCATGGGGGATGAGAGTGCCGCAATCCTTTCTCCTCCGTTCTCCTCTCGGGATCTTGGGCACGCATGCACACACGCCTGGCGTGAGTCTCAAGCCACCAGGTCTGGGATGCGAACTGCAGTTGACTACATGGGAGTCCAGCGACATAGCCATTATGCTAACTGCTGGTCCCTCTACTTTGCATCTCTTTTTTTTTTTTTTTTGTGAGAGGTTTTCACTATAGGGCGCGTGCGCTCGCCAGACAGACAGAGACAGAGAGACAGAAAGCGAGAAATAACCCCCCATGGGGGATGAGAGTGCCGCAATCCTTTCTCCTCCGTTCTCCTCTCGGGATCTTGGGCACGCATGCACACACGCCTGGCGTGAGTCTCAAGCCACCAGGTCTGGGATGCGAACTGCAGTTGACTACATGGGAGTCCAGCGACATAGCCATCACGCTAACTGCTGGTCCCTACATCTCTTTTTGAAAGCTGCCTAAATATGGTAACATTTTGGGATATAGAGGCCCCCTTTTTTCTTAAAAAAATCTTGTCTTCCTGGGCCAACAGATGACGTGGTAGTTGGGGTGCTGGATTCCCACCTTGCCGACCATGGTTACCATCCTGGACCTAGAGGCTTGAAACTTGCATCAGACTCTTGTGCGTGCATGCCCAAAATTTCAAGGGATGCAGTGTGGCCATCCCCACAGGGGGTGGCTTCTCACCTTCCCTCTCACTGTCTCTGTCTCCCCAGCTAGTGCTCATACCTATGGCAAAGTCCTAAACAAATAACAAAACCTTGTTTTTCATTTTACCGTTGATATAACAAAACCTTAGGAATAAAATTAAATGTGGCCAGAAGCATTATATAGAAATATAATCCTTTCTTTTTTAAAGATAATTTTATAGTCTTTTCTCTGTTTATGCCTCAGTTCATTCAACAAATATTTACTGAAATTCTACAAAGTGCCAGGCTCTGAGGACACAGGTGTGAAAAATTCAAGTCCCTGCTTTCATGAAACCTAAATTCTTCTGCTTTCATGAAACTTAAACTTTAAAACTTAAATTCTTAAACTTTAGTGAGGAAGACACTAAAATAAATAATAGATACATATTTACATCCATTTTAAAAAGGGCCTACTTAATACAAAAGACTTTGCAGTTTGTCCCATATGTCATCAAACAGGACCATGCCCATCAAATGAATGTTCTCTGTCCACATAAGGTCATTTTGTAGATATTTCTTAGAGAAAGGCATATTGTTTCCATTTTGTTTGCTTTTTTTAAAGAGAGATTTTTGCTATAGGGCACGTGCACTCGCTGTAGAAACACATCCCCCTGCAGGGGAGATGGCCATACCACAATCCCTTCTTCTCCATTCTCCTTTCAGGATTTTGGGCACACACACACACATATGCCCGGTATGAGTTTTAAGTCACTGGGTCTGGGACTTGAACTGCATTTGACTAGGTGGGAATTCAGTGACGTAACCACTATGCCATCTGCTGGTCCCAAGAAAGGTGTACTCTGCTGTATCAGTTCATAAAAGAATGGACACGTGATTTTAGAGTCTGCGGACAGTCTAGCTGGCTGTGTCCTTATGTGTGTCCAGAGCCCATGTTACAGGCAATTACACTGGTCCTGGAGAGAATGAAAGTTCACTTGGCAATTCCAGGGACCTCCCTAACAATGCAGTCTCTAAGTGCAGTCACTATTGGCCATGTCCTGCCCTATGTGAACAGTCAGTTTTCACGATTTTACCTGAAATCCACTATGGTACTTTGGCTCTCCTTTGGACACACTGCCAGCTATCCATCTATTCTGGCCAGATGAAGACCTGTTAACCAGAATACTTTCACAACTCCTCAATCATATTCTCCTTATTGATCCTGTGCTAGTGTTCCTACAACGGTGGACCCTAAGTCCTCACTAATCCACCATCTTCTCTTGAAGCCTGCTTGTTCTTTGGATGTGTCTCTCGTACTCTGTCGCCATCTAGTGGCCATAAAGCACTTACTCTCTGCCTGCCATCCCTGGTAGTCCGTGCTCTTATGAGCAGTCACTTTATATTCTATGTTTGCTCTGTTGAGGAAGCCTTTAAATAAATGGTTTTGAAATTCCTTCCATGGAATAGCCTTCAGAACAATGTGGCATAGTGCTTAAGACAGTGGATTCTGGAATTCATGTCCTGGTGCTCTGGGTTTAAATTTCAAAGCTACAATATATTTGACCAGTTCAGATGATTTTTGCCACTCTGTACCTTTTTTTTTTTTTCTTAGGTTTTTGCCATAGGGCGAGCGCACTGCTGGAGAGAGACAGAGAAAGGGAAAGTAAAATTTACTGTGTAAACCAATACCTCCCCAGCCCCCCACCTCTCCCT